GGTTGAGAACTGCTGGTTTAAAGTATTAAATTTTGTGTGAATAATCTATAACATAAGATAGTATGGTGGCAAGTATATATTACAGAAATTGGAGTAAGTAGTTCCAGCTCCAAATTCCTCCTGCAGATAATCCCTTCAAATGGTACAATCTTACCAAGTCTTCAGTTTTGATGTACAAACATAAGACTGATCAGGATGGGTGTTTTGCCTATATGTGTGTGCCTGCTGGTGCCCCCAGAAAAGGGGACTAGTGCTTTAGTCCTGATGTGGTAAGGATTATAGCAGATTGTGTTCTAATCCTCGTTCTTCCAACTGCTGTGCTGATTTAATTAATCAAGTCATTTACTTCCCCTCAGTCGTCTCGCCCCAACATTGGTGAAGCTAGAATTAGGTACTTTGTCATGTTTTAAAGTTCTGTCTAGTTCTATTGAACCCATACTTATAAATAAAGTTGGGAAGAACCTTTGTCACAATCCCCCAACCCTTTTTTTTTTTTTGCCACTACCATTGTATGATTGATTGATTGATTGATTGATTGATTGATTGATTGAAAGTAAGGAAGAAAATGAAGCTTACTTCTTTACTCAAATGCTTGAGAAGTAAATGGTATGCAAAGTAAATAGCTAAAGGAACAACACACCAGTCAGTTGTTGTAGTGTTCTCCAAGTAGTAAACTATAGGGTACAGAAATGAGATTCTCTTTCTATATGATTAGATTATATTTGGCGTATGTGTTAGGTTTTGATGCAGCAGATAATAAGTGCTAATGGGGAGCAGTCTAAGAAATTGGATTTCTTACTACAGACTGCTGACTTCTGGTCAGACACTGTCTGCATACACGTGTGTGTGTAGTTCAGAGCTTAAAATAGCCAAGCCGGGAGAAATTGAAAACCTCTTACATTTGTTCCCCAGCCACCTACTTCCTGTCTTCAGAATCAATGTATTATTTGTACGTTCTTCTGAGGGTGACTTTTGGACTGAGTTTTAATTAAATGGGCCATTCACATTAGATCACTGATAAGAGAAATGACTTGCTAGGCTCAGAGAAGTGGCAGCTTGTGTAATGAAATTAAAGAGTGAGACTGTCGTACTTGGGGAATTATTTGATTAACTTGACAGGAAGCAGAGTGAAGGGCTTTATACCACAGTAAATTTAGATTCTTACATTAACTTTATAATTGCTACTTAAAAGCATTTCTTGAAGCTTTTATTGCTAAAGTAGTATTTACCTTACAATTTATTTCAATAATTTCAGTAATTATTGTAGTATGCATTAAAGTGTGATAAAGTTATGTTTTGCATTGGGGTCTTCACTGGGGCCCAGAAGTCAGAATTGTTATTTGGTAGAATGTACTAAGTAGTTTGGTACACCTAGCTCAAAATTTAAGTATTTCATTTGCTTCAACATTACCATAACGATGATGAGATACTTAATGCCTGCTAAGATTCTCTACCAAAAGTTGAATTTTGTACAACATAAAATTAAGCTTAATTGTGTCAAACCCTATTAAACATTATCTCATTTGATCTTTACAGCAACCTGTAAGCAAGATTTTTATTCTCCTTTGTGAATTAAGGAAACATGATAAAACATAAGCACTTAGGTCTGCCACTCCAAAGCCAGTACGCCTTTGCTTTATTGCGTAGCAAACAATGAATGATGTGGGAAGAAAGGAAAATTGCTGTAGTCACTGATGGTTATGTTGTGACTGTTTACCTGAAAGATACTTACAAATACTTAAAATTCACACATAAATTTGGAATGGCCCTTGTTGATATTTTATTTGTCTGATTTCTATTTAAATCTTAAAAGTGGAGTTAGGGAAGAGGTTTTTGTTGAGTTGAGGCTCACATATGTTTCCCTTTAAGCATCACCAACACTTTAGGTTTATTTTGAGATGTAAGGTATGCAGGTGTGTTTCTTCTCCCTGCTGTAGTTGTCCTATAAATAGAATGTCTTGCTAAAGCAAGTGGATATGTATTCTATGTGCTTGTCACTTTCTGGCACACTGTTTTCATGTACTGGAAATTAATGTGACAGACTAGTGTATGAAGCCAGGGAATAGATAAAGAAAAGCCATTTGTAAATACCAGTGGGCACAATTAACAATTACTTGAGAATGACATAGAAATTGAGGCTACTGAGGTCCCAAGGAAAGCTCGGTTAATAAGATCATTTCGGTGCTAAGTGAAACTTGATAGCACAAAATTATAATTGATATAATTTTAAACTTTGCATTTTGACCATATATTCTCTTCTGCAAGAAATCACATTTGAAACCAGGTTCCTAACAGCTTGTTTGAAGTGAATATAAACTACTACTCTAAGTAAAGCAATTCTTAGAAGAATAAACTGTAGTTTATATTGAATTTATTGCAGTCATCTAAATGAAAATGCTGTTTTCTTGTTTGTAGACATTTTTCAAAACCACTGAATAAAATATATCTTTTCCTCCCCTTATTGTACTTTATTTCATAGCTCATTCTCATATCCTGAGGTTTACTATTAACAGTAGATAATTTTTGTTTTATATTTGAGAAATACTGTGTCATTACATTGAAAAAATGATGGCATTTCATAAGACTTTATTTGATGCCAATTTGTTTAGCAGGTGAATTTGCTTCAAATTAAGTATAGATATTTCAAAGTTAAAATATCGGAAGTTCTTTAAAATGTCATCCCTCTGAATAGATTTCATTTTAAATGCTCTTTATAAAGAATCTTTAATTCCAAACTAGGGACTAACTCCAAAATTTACTCTGTTAGTCTCCTCCTTCCGTCCATTAAAGTTGAAATTCCTAAACAATGTAAGAATAGCCATCCAGTGCTCACATGGTCCTGGGCAAACCTGATTTAGTTGATGGTGGGAGGAGCCAAAATAGGTTTTTGGTTTATTTGCCTTTTGTCTTACTTGGCTGACTTGACTTTGAAGTACAGTGGGAAAAGGTAGCCTAACAAAAGTTAGAAAATGTTAGATTCCTCTTAAACTTTGTTGTTGGCAGATCTAACCTGTGCTTTTGACAATCAAAAGAAAAAGGTAAGAAGAAGGGTTTAAAGACTAGAAAGGAAGTAGAGTAAGGAAAGCAACAAAAACTTCATATTGTTAAAAAGTCCTAGTTAATCCAGCAGCTACTTTGGTGATTCTCTGTTACCCAGTGTCTCTGTCTTTTCTAGTTTATCAAAAGTGATATCTACTGGATAAAAATCTAAAATGCAGTATGAAAAAGGGCTATGCATCCAACACAGCTTGACTTAATTCAGATTTTGAAGTCATGATTCTCTTGTTTTTAATTTGATGATTGTTGATATTTGATTGCTGTTGCAGTCAACTTTATGAGTAATTTTAAGGTTTAGTTGTTGTATTTTTTCTATTTACTTGTATATGCTTGTGTTTGTGTGGATGTATGCTGTGTGAGGCCACAAGAGGGTATTGGATCTCCTGGAGCTGGAGGCACAGTGAGTTGTGAGCTACCTGAAATCTGTGCTAGGTTCTGCAGGAATAAGTAATGTTCTTAACTAAGCCCCTAAAGCAGGGTTGTTTTTCCTGTACTGTAATCCAGCAGCCTTTCTTAAGGCACCTACTAAGGTTTCAGAAAAGCATCTGAAGATTATTTTTTAATAACATAATAGCAATTGAGCATTGGCTGTACCCAAAAGATTTAGATATGGTTACAATCTTCAACTATTGGACAAAGGCTAAATAAAACTGTAGTATTATTTAATCATGTATAACTATTTAATAACTTATTTAAAGAACATAAAGCTAGAGAAGTCAGGTTTTGACTCTGGTATGTTTAGTATAGTAGTTTAAAAGCATAAAATTAGGCTACCTACTCTGACATTTGGGGAGTTACCTCTTACTCCTTTTAGGTAGGGTTGTTGTAGAAATTTGAGGCAATAATGTAAAGCAGTTTGAATAGCATTGGGTATATAGTATTTTTTTACGGCTGTTCTTACTTCCTACCATGAATCAAAGATTGGGTTTGTTTTTTGTTTTTCTTGTGGCCTCAGAGAAGAAAGTTTGGTTGACTGAGTGGATGATTGATTTGATATCAACTGTGGAGTTGAAGTCCTAGGCAGTTATGAATTGGTACTAGGAGCTAAACTTGAGTCCTCAGCAAGAGCAGATATGCTCTCAACCACGGAGCCATCTTCTTTAGCCCTGAATTAAGGATTTTTAAAGTGATATGGCAGATCCATGTTAGCCCCTAAAGTACAGGTGGATGGTGAGGAAGACATTAGAATTATGCTTAGTGAAAACAGTTAGGAACCAGGTTAGTCAAAAGCTTAGCTCCTTGAGAAATCATTCCTGACATATAGGGTCAATTATACATACTGGAGTTAGCCTACATAAGCTCATTAGTTAGTTACAGTTCTGTGGTGTTAGCCCTAGGAATAGTAGGAATGAGTGATACAGTTGATAGGTTTTTTCCCCTTTAAAGGGGGCATTATACTCATGCAAGAAATTAGAATGCTTCCATACAATCACATTGTTCCCCCTACTACTAGCCTAGAGAAACTACACACAAATAAACTTAAAGTGGAAATGTATCAAGTCCAACCAAGAAGGACTCTTTATTATTTATCATTAACTCTTCGCTTTTAACAAATCCTAGAAAGCTATAGCTTAGTGTTGTATGTGGATATGCTACTGGAGAACAACAGCTAGAACCATAGATGATCATTAAGGCATCACTACAACATGGTGTTGATAGGCTCTGGTTACTTTTATGTATATATGCACACAATTGAATGCTAGTATTTAACTTTATCTGTTATTCTTTTAAAACTTTGATTCTGAATTACTGTGGGTTCTGAATTTTGTGTGCTTTATTATTTCTTCCAAAGTATTGTTTTAAACAATCTCAACGTTTTCTTTTTCATTTTTCAAATTTAAGTGGTTACACTGTATGAGAATCTAAAATCTTCCATTTTTTGTAAGTACTGAATATACTGTACATTCTCAACTTCATTTCCATTTGATTCTTGGATCTCACAGGAATCCTTCAACTGCTTTCTACCAAGCGTTCCATTTGAACACGTTTCAGGAATCAAAGAGCCTCTGGGATAGGTATGATTACTTGATATGGAATGCATACATGCAAAAGTGTATGCATGAATTGCTTTGCATAAAACTGACTTTTGTTAAAGGGGGGAAATCACATGGAATCTAGCATGGGACAAAGCAGCAAAATAAACCAAAAAGACTATTTTCTATAGAATATAAATGTGCTCTTTAATTTTATTGCATTCTGTGCATGCTATATCTATTTTTAAGGATTACATGTTCCATTTTCTTGAAGTAGTCGCTTCATATATTTTAAGGCAAAACATTTTTCTGTTAAATCAGTGTTATTTTTGTGCTTTTTTATAGGATTTATAACAAAACAAAATACCATTCAAAAATTAAACTGGAAGAGGGACAAGACCTGAGTAATAAAATTGTCATTAATTTTGACAAGAAATTGTCACCACGTTTGCTTGCTAGAATTTTGTATATCTATAAAACAATTTGTTAAGACCCCCAAACAGGTTGCTTTTTCAGAGAGATACTGTTTAGGTCTATTTTCCACTTAAAACAAAACAAAACAAAAAAACTCTTTGATTTCACTTTTGGCAAAAGATACTTTGGTTTATCTTTCTGCTTAACACACATTTTTAAATAATATATGCTTTGTTCAGTTATTTGACTGAATATTTATTAGCAATCCATCATTCTGTATTTAATTAATAGGAGTTGAGCACAGTGTTTCTTAAATTCCCACAAAGCTTATTAGATTCTTTTAACTCTGCCTGGCAACGCATTTGTGTCATCTGGCATATTTTTGGATAACACTAATAGACTCAACTCTACCTCTTTCATTAGAAAAGATTGTTGCTAAGTGCCTGTACATGTCATATTAAGACATGATCTGCATTGCCTTAATAGTAAATAGTAAAACTTTCTTTTAATTTTTGGCTTGATTTGTTTGTGTGTATAACTCTAAAGACATTTTCTAATATTTTATATCTTTTAGATGCTTTGTTCCTTGCTTAACCAAAAATATTTTAAACAGTTTTTGAACAAGAAATTTTAAAATTTGTAATGCTGTATATATAATCAAGTTGAAATTAGTTTTGTTCTAACAGTATAAAGTATTATAAAGAAATACATAACAGATTATAGTATGAAACAAAGTTTTAATCATGTAAATAGTACTTGAGGTATGCCTTATACTTTTCCTCAATACAAAGGAAATATAGTACTCTATTTGAATATGATAAGTAGCTTTAAATGCAGTTTAATTATTTGTAATATCTAGCTTTCATAAGCTATCATGTCAGTATAAATTTTGTATTAATTTCATAAATATGTTGTGGAAAGCTTAGTCTTTATTTTCTATAATTTTGGTCTAATATTAAAGCAGTTTCATTGTAGCACAACCATAGAAGTTACTTGGTCATAATTTGTTGTTACAGCTAAATACTTGTTCTTTTTAGTAGATACCAAATACTTTTAGCATCTCAGAAATGAGGCAAATTCTGTATCTATTAGTTTTTCGTAGGTTAAAAATATATTTCTGGACTAAGAAAGGGAAAGACCTGAATTTAGATCCCTGTCACTCATATAAAAGAGAAAAAACTATCTAGGTGTGGCAGTCCAGACACTAGGACAATCCCAGAGTTTCACTGGCCTGCTGGTCTACCCAGTCTAGCCGATCAACAAGGTCCAGAATCATTGAGAGACCTTGCCTTATTATTAAGGTGGGGGAAGTGATAGACACACACACAAATGAGGAGTGACTGGCTTTATTAGTTCTAACAGAACAGTTTATACAGCTTTATTTGGCAAATACTTGCAGACTTGCTTGTTAACTGACACTGAGAAAGCATTGTGGTTCTGTTTATTCCTAGCAGACGGGTTAAAGATTTTTGTAATTCTGCTTTTAAAAATGTTAATTATAACGTTTGGCTTTGTTTTGGATCTCACCAAATAGCCTTATTTTGTAAATTTGGGGTTTGTGATGTGGTTTTGTGTTGTTGTTTTGTTTGTTTATTTTAACAATTGATTTGCCAAATAAGTATTTTAAAAAGGTAATTCTCTTGTTATATGGAACTATTCAAGAATTTAGGGCAGTGGTCCTCAACCTTCCTAATGCAGCAACCCTTTAATATAGTTCCTCATGTTGTGATGACTCTCAACCATAAGGTTTTTTTCATTGATCCTTCATAACTATAATATTGCTACTGTTATCAGAATATAAATATCTGACATGCAACCCCAAAGAGGTTGCCACCGACAGGTTGAGAACCGTTGGTTTAGGAAGCCATAACTCCTGTATATGATTTATGTCATCTACATATATTGAAGCATAAATTTGCCCATCAGTGGGGTAGACTTTTTAAGGCTTATTTTTATTGTGAGTAGGGAGTGGGGGTATGTTACTTAGTGTGTAGGTACCTATGGAGGCCAGAAAAAGGCATCTAATCTGGAGCTGGAGTAACAACTGGTTGTGAGCCATCCAGTTACCTGGGTGCTAGGAACCAAACAGGTCCTCTGGAATAGCTGGAAGTGCTTTTAACCATTGAGCCATTGCTCCGTTCCTGGGGATAGCTTTTAAACCAGTGTTCATTAATCATGTCTGACTATCTGAAGGTCCATGCTTGTACCCAATTTTAAGGACTGAAACCTTTTTCTCCTTCCAAGATACTTTCAATTTATCAAGTATCTTTATATTCAAATTATGAATTACTAATATGCTATTCCTCATTAACTTACTAGTTCTCCTTTATTTACCTTTGTTAACTTACCAGTTTGTCCTATATTTAAGTTAGAATTAGTAATTTGAGAGATTTTTTTAATAGCCAGATTGCCTTTGTCTGTATTCAGATAATCTTTTCTCAGCTGTCCAGTGTTTTCATCACTATGTACTAAAATTGAAGCTACTCAAGTCTTTTAGGTACCGTCATAGTTTTTGTGTTCCTCATTTGTCAGTTGCAGAGTCCTCAGGAAAACAGTCCGTGGAAGTAATGAGAAATATGAGGAGAGTGATACTGATAGCTCAAAGACAGTGATTAGTTCTCTAAGAGCTTATATTATTGTGAAGTCATTTTTTGTGGTATTCTCACATACTAGCACTTTAGTGATGCTAAATTTCAGCTACATTTTAAAAATTGTGTTCATTCTTGGTTTTCTTAAATCTACAGAATTAGTTTAGAAATCTGTCTCAATAATCACTGGGAATTAAGCATCATTAAGAGTTTCTGTCTATGAAAGCTTAATGTAAGAATTACAACAAAGGCTTTACTTAAATGTCATGTCAGTAAGATGAGGAAGTGCTAGAGAGAAGACTAAAGAGAGGAAACCAGACTGCTTTTAAGAATTTGCCTTAAATTTGCCTTAAAAATTTGGAGTGTTTTGTTTTCATGAAGAAATTGGTTAAATTTAGTTAATAAATGCTAAGCAATTACAAGAGATATATGATTTATTTCCTTGTGTTAGCTTGTCCTTGTGATAGCAGGAATATTTAAATGTAAATTAATAAATGTAAATTTAAAAGTGGTCAGATGCCATTATTTGACACAAATTTATTGATTCCTATAATATCAGGAAAAGCACGATTGTAAAATTCAAAACCTACTTCTAATGAGCTTGGTCTTTGGGAAAAGATAAAGAGAATCATTATCACATAATTGAAAACAATGACCCTTTATAATATCCAAGCACTTTTCCACTTTGCAAGGAAAGTTGGAGTGAGGTAGCTTTCTTAGTTGAGAGTGAGTAGAGTTTGGTATTTTAGAACTAGAAAACTGAGGGAAAGAAGCAATCTAGTTAGAGGAATGGTACAATGGGCCACTGAGAATATGTAGGGCTTACATATATGTATGGAAATACACACACACACATATATACATGTAAAAAAAATAGTTGGATTTGATTTATGTATAATATAATGACAACAGAGAAGAAAAACTCAATTGAACAAAGAAAATTATGATTGTTTTTTTTTAAAAAAAAAGGCATTAATAAGATTTTACAGCTTGTGGATTATAAGGAAGCACTCAAACAACTCCAGAATGTTCAAAACCCAGTTGACTGAGGGAACGCACATATTATAGGATGCATTAGTAAAAAAATTAGTTTGAATAGATATATAGATGAGATTTATGGTTTTAGCTGTTTTATGAATTAGTTGACAGACTGGTAGAAATATCCAGAAATACACTGGGTAGAGAAGTAAGATATTAATTTTTTTAAAAAAAAAATTTATGTTCCTTTATTTGAGCAAGATTTCTGATGTATACAGTGACGTATTTACTAACAGAGTCCTGTGCAGAAATTACACACTATCCATCTAGACAGATTTTGGTTACACTTTGCCTATTGATGGCATTTATAAAGTTTTATACATCAAAAGGCTTTGAATCATCTCTGAAAAGTGGCATTTAATTTTAGCCCAGGTATGTAGCAGAGCTCTCAGACTCTGAATCTGGGTGGATAAAGAGAACTTTTGTATGCTCAGTGCAATTGTGCAGAGAATAATGTTTTGGAAAGCTACCTGATACATAAGCTTTTTAATGCTGTAAAATAGATGATAATTTTTTTTCTCGATGTTTTTAGAGTTAAGTCTTTAGGAGAGGCCAGGATTCCAAGGAAGAGAGTAGGGTAAGAGAGGGTCAAGCCAGAACTGTGGCAGTACCACATAGCGTTGAGATCAGAGGAGGAGATAGAATGAGAAGGAAGTTTTAGTAATGGGAACACTCTGGGAATATTGCTTCCTAACCAAAAGAGGAGAAAACGTTTGCATCTGCTCTTAGACGATTGTCTGCTGCTGTAGTTTTAATAATAAATCTTAGCCCCATTCTTTGGAGTACTGTTTTATTAGTTCCTAAACATTTCTTCTCTTAGTTTTTATAGTTCAGCTAGAACACCTGATAAATTGATATCTATTTTCTACACATTGATAGACTTCAGAATCGGCAATGAGAAATTGTTCAGCTGTTTACCAGTCTACATGATTTTGTTCCTTCATTTACCAACTTTCTTCTTTGCTTAAATTACTCAACCTCTATCACCCATCCTACTTTCAG